GAATTTTTTGCCGCAATAATTTTTTTTGCCGAATTTTTTGTCACAGTAATTTTTTTTACCGATTTTTTTGCCACAGTAATTTTTTATACCGAATTTTTTGTCACAGTATCAATTTTTTACGAATTTTTTACTGCAATAGCTAAATTTTTTTACTGCAATATCAATTTTTTTACGAATTTTTTACTGCAGTATCAATTTTTTTGCCGAATTTTTTACCGCAGTATCAATTTTTTTGTTGAATTTTTTGCTACAGTATGCAAAATTTTTTTATTGCTGGATTTTGTGCCAAATTTTTTTCACAGTATGCCGATATTTTTTGCCAATTTTTTGTCGATATTTTTAGTGCTGAGTGGTAGCAATCGTAAATAATTCGTCAATCTTTTTAATATTAAATTTTTCCAAATTCGGCAATAACTTGACAGCCGAAATGACACAATTTCGACTAGTGATAAATAATATATTTATAAATATATTAAAATAATTAATAAAAATAAAATTAGATCTGTGGGTTTATAGCATAATAATAGTACTTTCAAATTATTAAGTATTATTTTCAAGTTTAATATTATAGCAAAATAGTATTATTTATAATTTTAAGTGATATAAAAATTTTATTTATTCAATAATAATATACTTAATATACTATTACCTTAGATTAAAACTTTATCTAATTATAAAGAATATAAAGATTACAAAAATCTTTAACTAGTTTTAAGATATATGGTATTTTGTTATAAAACATGTTTTTATATTGCTTTAGTAAATATGTGAAAATTTATATACTGTTAAATATAGAGACTAGTAAAGTCTAGATATATTAGTTAAAAGAGAATCTTTATTAATTTGATATCTATCTAAGACTTTATATAGTCATCTTATAGACAGGTTATAATAAGTTATATAAAAAGAGTGATTTAATAAAACAAGATAATATCTAAGACTTTATATAGATATTTTATTGATATATTCTAATAAATATTATAAAAAAATATTTAGTAAAGCAAGATATAAAAAAATCATATATTATGAATTCAGGATCTATAAATATAAAAATCAAGAAAGAGTAATATAGACATAGGTAGTAAAATAGTAAAGCTTTTTTTGATAAAATATATATAGGTAGAATCATTCACAAATAAATTTTTTAATATTTTGATTTATATAAAAATTATTATATATATAGTTTCAATATAAATAAAATAGTTTTGTATATAGACAGATCTTTCTATATACTGATTGTAATTATAAATTTATAGTAATTGGACTTTATAAAATCTCTTGAAAAAAAAATAAAAAATAAAATCAATATGTTTATAATAATTAAGTTCATAATAGATATAATAATAAAAAAATAATAAAAAATAAGATTATTTATAATATATACTTTAAAAAGAATTTTTTTTTTGATTACTCAATTTCTCTTGACAAAATTAATAATAAAAAAATTAGATTTATATAAATAATTAAGGTACATATTATTTCTTTAAATAATAATAAATATATATTAAAATATTTAATTTATACAAATATTATATAAATAATGTAAAATTAAAAATGAATAATAATTTTATTATAAGAATTCTAAAGATTGTTATAAAAATAATATATATTATATATATAATTGGTAAATTGTAAAAGAAAAATGATTGAAAAAATAGATAAATAAACATTTAAAAAAAATTTTTTTTAATCTACAGTCAGGTCAATATGACTTTTTATTTTATTGTAAATATATTTTAGTATTTATATATTCTATAACTTTTACATATTGACTTATCCATTTACAAATTTTAATCTTCTCTAGATACAATTTAAGGAATGATATTTCACATCCTTTGTGACTTGGATTATCCTTTAGTTACATAAATCATTGCTTATAGCTTATCACTATAAAAAATAAACATTTAAATTAGTTAAATAGATTTTCAATACTAATTAGAATATATTAAGTTGTTATATAAAATTGACAAAAATAATCTAATCTTCAAAACAGTAACATAAAAATGATATAAAAAGAAAATTAAAATTGAAAATAATATAAAAAAATCAATTATATAATATCAATTATAGAATTAATTTAATAAAATCTTAGTTTTTTGAAAAAATATATCAATATTTTATTTGATATTAAAAATTATATATTTTTATTTAAAAAAATTTTTTTAATTAAAAAATTTTTTTTGACAATAATAAATTTATAAAAATTGACTTATAAAGAATTTCAAAGAATATAAGAAATAATATTAGATTTTGAAATATAATGCATATACAGTAGATTTTGTATTAGTAATATAGTTAAGCACTTATATTTTAAATTTCTGATAAAATACTTTTACAATAAATAAATAAAAATCATTATTATTACTTGTTTCAGCTTTTTTATATATAAAGTAGTTTATAAAATAAACAAATTACTAATATAAAAAAATAATTTTCATATTTTTTATATATTTTTTTATTATTTATTCCATGTTAATTGAATCTTTAAAGTCAAAAAATATTACATGTAACAGAAAAAGTAAATAAATAAAGTGAAAAAGATTATATATTGTGATTTTAGTGTGATTATGATATCGCATCAAGCGACAAGAATTTTTTATGACTTGGTCTTACTCAGCATTATTCAACAGCTTAACTGAAACTGAAACTCGAAGTTTGCAATTTTTCGTTAACCAAAAATCCATTGTAATGTATACAGCATATGCAGTGCGTAGGAATGAAATAATATTGTGAAACGTCAACACTTCTCTTCTGATTAAAATTTCTGGAGTGTATCACTATTACATTTCCAACATTTCCCAAAAGCTTGTGGGCTTGGCAATTTCATTTATGTATCTTTGTGCAACGGTCTCGGCTAGTTTTGGAGCACTAGCAAATGGTAGATCAAAAATTTTCATTTATTCAAGGGGTATACGGTATATAAAAATTTTTTCTTCTCTTATTAAACTTATTTGGACGCGCCATTGTAGTTTCATTTCGAGGAGAATACCATATTCGATTTACTTGGATGATGCTACTTAAATAAGGTAGAATTCGGGTGGACAGCACGTAGCCATCCATCATATATTCTTTTGTAAAACAATTCTCGACTTTTCTTTTTTCGGGGACATATTCTTTGTTCTTCTACAAAGTGTTACGTGCATCTGACAATTAGATTGTTTTTAGCCGCATAATTGTTTATTTATACATACATTTTATTACATAATACCGATATAAGCATAAGTATTCCGAGAATTTTTTATATTTCTCTCTTCTTTTAAACTTTTCTAAAATCCAACTCTTCAAGAACACTCCAACGCACCTCTAATCAACGAAATTCAAAGGACCTTCGAGGAGATGGCGCTGCCCAATATCTCAATCCATTATCGAAGGATACCTTCCTTCATCAATCATTCGCGCAAACTCCTGGTATTCCTGTTATCACTTAATCTCATACTTTCAAGCAACCTCTTTCTCGGATCACACAATTCTGTAGACTCGTGGACGATATTCAATACTGCCTCCGTGGAAAGTGAAGAAGAAAATTATTTCGGATCACGACCGATGGATTTTGATCGCACAGATATACCGAGGAATATTTTAGTAGGATCCTATATTGGAGGTATGCTAGTGGAATTAACCGTTTTCAAATATTATTGATGTTTTAAAACTTGTTTTGATTTCACTTTTCCATAGGCATCGGCCATCTTAGACCTGCATTAGAAATCGGCAAGATTTTAATTAGGCGTGGATACAATGTAAGTACTTATCACCTTTAACGACAAGTCGCCTGTTACCAATCTTTCAATAGGTAAAAATGATTGCGCGTACTGTAATATAATCAGGTAGCATTGGTGGCACCCGGAAATTTCACACCGTCACCCGAATACCAAAACATCCGTCAATTCTCAACCGGACCAAAATTCGATACCAAAGTTTTACCTGTCTATCAAAAACTATTCGCCGAAGAGTACACGTTCAAGAAGTTCAAGCTGCAAAGGAAATTATCAAATTCAGAATATTTGAGTCGATTTCAGGTGTACATGCGAGCGGCAGCAGAGTTTAAGCCGGACTTGTTCTTTTGCGATTTTCTGATGAATGAGGTGTGTTATGATGTAGCTTGGAAGCTGAGAAAGCCAGTCGTTGGAATAAGTGCAGGATTGACTCGTAAGTGAATCGATTTTTCTTTCCATTGTGCACTCCGAATTGCATTTTTTTTGAAATCATTTGTACACTGCCCTTCAACCTTTAATCCAAACCCACGAATCATAAAGCAAGGTCGTATGCTCCTTATAGGTCGGATCCATCATGGGGTTGTCACGCCAATATGGAGAATGAACCTTTTATGGAGAGATTTCGATGCGCTATAATCGTTCCAATGATGATCACATATGAGTCGAGAGTTTGGGTGAATGAGTTGAATGAAATCCGGTCTAAAGTCGGGATACCGCCTGTTTCGAGTTCTATCGGACGGGTTAAAGATTCGCTATTCTTCGCGGACACGTTTTTTGGATTTGAGGTTAGCACGGAATGCCATAATTTCAACTTAACATTGACCCTGTTTAAATTTTAGCATCTGATTTAATTACGCACAGGTTCCACATCATCTACCACCTCTCGTTCAGGTAAGTCATATCATCAGCCTCGTCCATTCTCGAATATGTGTTTACTCATCTATTTGTTTATCTTAAGGAAATCGGGCCAGTGATGCAAGATGAATATCCACCAATGACACCTCCTCTCTCCTCATTTCTTTCCACTCACAAACGAACAATGTTTGTCTCCTTTGGCGTTCTCGTATACACCACACCCGAGAATAATGCAATCTTGTTAAGCTCCTTCGTCGAAGCCATTGATCAAGGTATCATTGACGGTGTAATATGGTCGCTAGGTCAAACCTCCCACAGTGATTTTCCAGGAAACATCACCCTTTCCAACGGTACCATCATCGAGAGCTCGTATATTTTGCACAACAAACACCCTCACATCTACATCACGGATTTCGCGCCACAATTCGCGTTGTTGAACCAGACCAATGTTAAATTGTTCTTTTCGCATGGCGGCACGGGCAGCACCCATGAATCCATTTATACCGCAAAGCCGATGTTATTGTTACCCATTGCGTTTGACCAAATGGGCAATGCCGAGAAGTTGGAGAATGCGGGCGTAGGGTTGACAGTTTCGAAATTTAATCTGAATGTACAAGACATTCACAACAAAATTAAGAAACTACAAACCGACGAAAGTATACAGGTGAATGTTCGAAGGATGCAAGTGTTGGCTAGAATTAACAGTAAACGAAAGCATCGAGCGGCAGATCTCATCGAGTTTTTGTTGTTGGCGTCGCAGTTGAACAATGAAGATGAGGAATATGACGATGAAGAGGGTGTGACAAATAATGGCAACACTTTGGTGGTGGAAGAGGATTCTAGGAATGGAAAGTCAATTAACGATAGAAACAACATTAATGACGGAAATGGTAAAAACAATAAGAAAAATAACAATAATAGTAAAAGTAAGAATAATCGTTATAATAAAAAACGCAGAAATGGAAATGGAATCAACAGACATTCGACCTTTACGAATGCCTATCTTCAAGAATTGATCACACCGGACACGCGAATGGGATTCATAAAAGGAAAATATTTAGATGTGTTTGGAGCATTTGCTGTGGGGATAATAGTGGTTTTTTCCACTATAATGTGGTTGGTTTGGGCAATTGCTAGCATTTTTGTGAACGGTGTTCTTAATGTGACGGAGAGTTTCGTCGGTGGGACCAAGGTTAAGGTGGAATAATTTTAAGGGTCTGGATTACAAATATCACGTGGTCTTATATCGGTGTTTCCTAAACGACCGGGCTTGTTGATGGAGGATTCGGTGCATATCGATGAATATTGATGATCGTCCCACTTTCAAATAAATATTTCTTCGAGGCAAATTTGTGTTAATATGTTATTAATGGCAAACTTTTAATTCCATATTGACAAAGGTTACATGTATCTTATCTACTTTAGGTCTTCATTATTGTGATCGGTTTTAATTGGAGGGGATGTGTACATACAATAAATGCAAAAAAGAATCACACATATTTCAATATATGAAAACGGCCGTTTGCGGATGCCAAGAAATTCTTTTTAAATTTATGAATTCATCATATGCATTCTTGTGAAAAAATATTACCGCATAAATAATAATAACGTAATGATAGTAATTTGCCCGTCTTCGAGAACAGTGAAAAAAAAATTACATTTTTACTTTGATTTAAAGAGATAAAATTACTTTAAAGTTTTAATGTGAATTATTCATTATGGTTAGCCTTACTGATCCTCTTACTGATCCTAGATGGCCAAGAAAATTGGTGAATTTCCCGATCACACTGGTTTTCCATAAACGCTCAGAATATATATATATTTTTTATGCCGTTTCACAAAATTTCATTATAAGATGGCCTGGAAGATCATGTAATTATGTATTGCGAAATCATTACGTATTTATGATGACAAACATATATAAGTCCGCGATATTGCGAAAGATGGGTACGTGCGAACGCTCGCTCACTCACGTACTCTAAACTACACACACGTGATCCTATTGTCGTTACGCGAAAATTAATGCAGAATTGAGAATAAATTTCACTCATTTTCTGAGCCTTTTCCGTATTTCTCCTATGCTCTTCTAAGATGTCCTCTCGAAAGCTGAAATTCTGTTTGTCCTACTTCGGTGCCCTTTTAATTTGCGCAGTTAGTGGCACTCAGTATTTATTCAGTGCGTATAGTACCGCTCTGGCGGATCAATTGGATTTTAATTCGGTACAGATAAATACGATTGGAAGTGCCGCGAATTATGGATTTTTCTTCAGCAGCCCCCTTTTCGGTTATACTGTTGATACTTACGGAGCACGGAGGTAAGAAGCATTTCTTGAAGGCAAGAAAGCTGCTGATTAGTCTTTTATTAGCGAGATCAACCCTTTTTTTTTTTTTTTTTTTTTTTTTAAAAAAAATGATTTTAGAACCTGCCTAGCGTCTTCTCTTGTAATTTTCGTGAGTTATTATCTTCTTGCGTTGACGTATAACGGAGATTTTCCCTCAAAGTCATTCTTAATTTGCGCTATGTACCTCTTGTTTATGGGAATGGCATCGGCGGCAGGTAACTTGTTCGAAATCCTATTTGTTACCTTTTCAATTTGTCCCGAAAATTTCTGAAAACTTTTCATGATACATTATAGGGTACCTTTCTTCCCTATCAAAAATTGCAAGTATCAATTATTTGCTTCCCGCAATTATTTTCCAGACATGAAAAACAAGCTGACCACCCTATTTCAGATAAAAATTCTTGCTCCCGGATCATCGAATCGTGGAGTTGCGTTGGGCACCCCTCTGGGGTTATTTGGATTGTCCGCATTTGTGTTCTCTCAAATCAATTCGTCCTTCTTCAAATCGGATGTTTATCACTTCCTCGTGTTTGTCGCCATATCCACCGGGCTTTGTCAGTTCATTGGTGCTTGTTTCTTGGTAGACGTTCCCCCCATACCAATGCAATGCGACGAGGTCGTGACCGTGATTACAACAAATCCGGCTTCCTATGATCATCATCAACAGGACGTCAACGATACCCATGATCACAAAACTCAAAAACACGTGAGGTTTACCGAACAGACACCACTCATAGGTCGTTCGGATGGTATCGACGACCGACATGAACATCACGAACAACGCGATATTTGCGGATGGGAATTGATTCAAAATGGTGACGCGCGTCTATTGTTTATCGCTATTTTATTCATCGGCGGAACCGGTTTGATGTATATCAATAACGTCGGAACCATGATAAAATCCTTATACACTGCCTCGATCGACGACCGTCATCCTCTACCTGGCAATGATCAACAAATTGAGATGCATAGACTGCAAAGCTTACACGTGTCCATAATCTCGATATGTTCTTGCATTGGACGTTTCTCGGCGGGTCTATTTTCCGATTTTACCAAATACATGTACAAGCTACGAAGATTGTGGTTCATCATAGTGGCAGGACTACTTTTATTCGTAGGGCACATGTTATGTGGTTTCCTGGTGAAAGATTTGGATCTGTTGTGGGCAACCAGCATATTGAACGGACTTGGATGTGGGTTCATGTTTGGAATTGCACCAACCATCACCACCGAATGGTTTGGTTCTAGGAGGTTCGGTTTCAATTGGTATGAAAGTTTCCGATGGATTTGTTTTTGTTTTTTTTTTAATATCAGAATAAATACTCATTTGTCGACGTTTCTCTTCACGCTCGAAATATAGGGGATTCATGTCCTATGTAAGTGCAAAGAATGCATTCTATTTAAATGGATGAAACGAGTTTATTAAATTGCTAATCTATCTCGATTGCAAACTTATCGAAATCAAGGCTCCAGCCATCGGTGGTCAATTATTCAATCTTTTGTTCGGCCTGAATTACGATTACCATCGACGGCGTGGTGATTGTGTGGGTTTTTCGTGTTACAATGCAGCGTTCTATGCCAGCAGTCTTGGTAATGCTATCAGTGTGTGCATGACTCTGGGTTTATTGGTGTGGCGAATGAAAAGAGATATAATTCGGTGGCAGTGGATACGTGAGACTGAAGTGGTTCGGAAAGAACATGAAGAAACGGATTCTAGAGCGAGCCAATGTGGGGTCGGGAGCAACGAGATCCTCTGGGGTAATAATGTTGGTGTAAGCATGCACGTCGTGGAGGAGAGTGAGGTTGAAAACGACGAAGGCGAGGTGGTGGTGCATAATTATGACGGATTGTTGATCAGTGAGATTTGTGGTGGTGAAAGGAATGATAAGGCGGGTGACTGTGAGAGAAAAGGATTTAAAAACGCGGATCTACAGTATTTAGTTGAAACTTAATAATATGTGCGTGCATACGTAGTCCGTATTTAGTAATCATTTTTCAAATTAATGGTCATATGTAAATTTATAGATGAAAACTATATTTCGGAAAAGTTATGCGCTTTGTTAATTAAAGTATTTAATAGAGTTCAAATAACACAACTATCACAGGAGCAAAGAATCATGTCAAATAATTTATAAATATGTTCGCAAAGGAATTAAAGGTTTCTGACATCTATCTCCCTTTCCAGCCTTCTCTTCTGGATTGATATTAGTACTGTATAAGTGTAATGGTGCTGTTTGTTTATTATTTTATTATGACATCGGTGCCATATAGAGTGGAAGATATCGTGGATTAGAAAAGGGAAATGCCAACTAGAAGGTTATCTCAAAAAGGAAATATGTATGTAAAATTTGGTGTCATCATTAGGCTTAAAGTCTATGGAAGAAAGAATGTTTAGTCTTCGACTAAATAGTTATGAATTTTGTCGTTATCGATAATATCGAGGAGGGTCGTAATTATCCTAACGCTATTGTCTTCTAGTATTACAGTACATAACCTTGCTTGTGTTCGATTAAAGACTTGACGTGATTCTATTACGCCTTCCAGTCGTGGAATTGGATTCCCAGAACAATGATATTTCACATGAATAATCAATTGGTTGCTTCAAATATGAAACCACCAACAGTTTTTTTGTTCTAATTTATAATTCCAAAGTACAGTATGCTGTATTCCATAAATAGGATTTAAATTAAGCTAAATGTAACTTGAGCTGAACCATTTTAATATTAAATATTAAATACCATAATTTTACTTTTTAAATTTAGGTAATATCAATTTTTCACAAATACCGGGTAATACTTCATTCTGTATAATCAAACTCATTATGCATATACCGCCCCAACCATAATATCTAATAAATACTGTAAGACAGAAGGCTTGTTTGACGAAAAACATGTCAAATAACAAAGCGAACTCTGAAGGAAATTTTCATTTAGAGGGTACTGTAAATATACTGTATAATCAAAGTAGTCATCTACTGTATGTGGTTTATGCTGACAAACATCGATCGAAAGAGGACGCAGCCGGATGCAACTGTAAAATTCGTAAAAAGTACTGTACATTATCATACAATGATTTGATTATACGGTAATGATTTGCAGTGTACATATAGGAAGTGAGGGTAAAGAGAAATAAGGCTATTGTGATTTTACATTAGAAAGTAATGATATTTCTTTTTCTCCGCTCCATGTCGTCTACTCATCGACATAACTGTTTCATTTATGATGAAACTCTTGCAGCATATACCTTTGTCGCTGCCTTCTATTAGTTAATATACAGTATACAGTATACAGCGACATTTTAAGCATGTATCAATTAAATATATTATCATACTAGCATTAAATAATATATAGAAAGAAGGAGCAATAGATTACAAGTCTTTAATATGCATTTTTTTCACGAGTAAACCAATGGTAAGCCAGTCATGAAAGGTACTTACTATTTTATGGGCAAGGGTATGGAAATAGTGTGAATATCAAAGTGCTATGTATAGTAAATTTATTAGGGAAGAAATGTATAAAGATGCTTTGTGATCTGTCCAGTATGACAACAGAATCGCTGTTTAACCCGCAACCCTATCGCCATCTATCAAGACCTTTGCCTCAAAAAATGAATCCAACAGTTGAATTCATTTTAAAACGGTTAGAAGTATTTACATCACATTGAACAATAAGTCAAAATCATGTGCAATCATAAATGTTAATTTCGGAAACATAACTGGCGAGGCGAAAAAAATTTTTTTTTATCAAGTGTTGTAAAGGATTACTTTTTAGAGTAAATCCGTGAATTTTCATCTTCTGATATTTGATATTTGGATAAATGTTTGCCCATACGAATTCCGAATCATATCTTTAGTTTATCTTAGAACAAAATCATGGAGAAAAAAAAATGTGGTTCGAAGAAATTTAACTGGTCATTAATGTGAAAGGTAAAGTGGAGTGCATTGGATTTATTTTCATTTAGTCCATGCTGATATTTGATTTTTTAAATTAGATTTACTTCCTCTTGTTCTGACAAAAAATGTATCATTTAAGGAGTTTACCAAAAAAATTCGTAAAATGCAAAGCATGAAGATTCTGGAATTATGACGAAGGCATTGTGATAATTATTGAGTTACCATCAAGTGAACATGAGAGTGCAACCTCCAAATTTTTATATTGATTCAAAAGCCATTTCAATAACATGGCAACTCAAGATCAAATTGAAAGCTGGAGGAGATTGAGCGGTAAGTTCATGGACTACCTTAGTACATGATAATATTATACGTAATAAACTCATTTTTTTAGTTTAGATTTACTGTATATGACCTGGTAACAGGTGAATATAAACAGGCTGATAAATGTTTTGTTCCTCGACGTCTGTTAAATCTGTCAAACTCAATGCCTCATCCGTGTAATAATAATGTGCGTAATTTGAATACTATTGCTTAAGTATAAAAATATGCCTTTAATGCTAGTTTGTAAACTTTATGAAAGTTTATGGCTGACTATTATTCTCGAGATTGCTTTATTCGAAACACTGGAAACAAGTAAAGAATAAGGTCAATAATTTTGGCTAGCTCCAAATCGTTGTGAAGATATAATTGTTATTAAAATAAGCAATTGGAGGCACAGGCGCTATGATCTGAATGGACGGCCTTTGCGTCGTTTGCGAGTTTAATATCGTTTTTATAATTTATGATGCTTTTTGTCTTTTTGTCCTTTGTGTTTTTGGTATTGTTTGAAATTCTGTCGACGTGCAACTCTTCAGCAAAACCGAAATGCTAACATTTGATACAATTCAAGAAGTAAATATACAATATTTCACCATTGCCCTTTCTTTTCGCTTTTTACTTACACATTTAATGGTATATTGAATTTGTTACTGTTAGAGTCAACGGAAGGGCTAGTAATTTCTGCTCGGGTTCTCAAATGGAATGAATTACAATTGACCGCGATTGCACTAATCGGGGTGCGTTCCTCCCCTTCTTCAGGTATCTGAATTGCCATTGGTTTGTATAATATATAAGAGATATTATATTATCATATAATGCTAAAATAGTAATAGGAGAAAATAAATTAGTTTTTTTGTAACACATCTTTCTGTTATTAATGACAAATAATGACGCTGTCGTGTAGTATGCATAGATGGCAAGAAATCATCAAATATCCAAATATCGTGAGACTAATTAATCACACCTAGTATCCAAGGTTACTATAGTGCATAAATACGAACAATGGGAAACAGCCTTAAAAAATCAAATAAAGTAATGCAATGTATAAAGTGTCATAAAGGAGCGATTCATAACTTAAAGAGACAGTTTAGCGATAATTATTATTTGCTAAAGAGTAATTAATAAAGACACAGGAAAACTTGATGATCCGTTATTTCGAGCTTTAAGCCTCGAAATTTTTGGTTGGCAGTATGTTTAGATTATGTTATTAGTTTTTTTGGGTTATACAAACTACGTTGGTTTAGCAATAGAGACTCGCCGATAGGGATGCAATGATCCAGTACAGTCCGGTTTCAATTTAAAACAATGATGGTCACTATTCTGTAGTGCGAGCATAATGTAGGAATTGCCACCTAAAAACTTTTTCTAAATTCACAAGCATCATTAACAAACGTTTTAAAATACAGTATAAATAGTTTAATTAGAAAAAAATACGATATTTGGGGTAAAATATGTTATTCAATGGGTTAGATCCAGAGGGATAAACCATATGTGATTATAAGCAACGGGTTACAATATATAGCTGAAATATATGTTCTGGCAAGGAAAAAAATTTTTAGTTCTCAATGGATCCCTAAGTAATATACGAGGGCAAATCAATTGTAAAGAACCATTTCTATTTGTTCTTATAAAATGACAATCCATCCCTTAAAGATAGAAAGATAAATATATGTAAATTTTGTTTGTTAAATATCTTTGGGACCCTTCTTTGCTCGTGAGTAAATACTGTTTATGCTGATTATCCCAAATTTTTATCCTTTATTTACTTTAGAACAGAATCTTACGCTAGAAAATTATGGAGGCAACTAACGAGAAAAACGATGGTGGTTCGAAGGAATTCGTTCATTATGCTCATGCTAATATTTGATTAGCTTCAATTATATCTCTAGATAACAGCTAGGTTTAAACCTTGGGTTAGTTCTTTAATAACTCCGGACAACTATTTAAGGGGATTGCACTATTGAGATGCAGAGGATGGATAAGCTTGACTGATTTCAAATAGTTAATGACTATTCTAAAATAATGTTATTGTTGTTAAATTAAAAATAATTTTGTAGGTAAGACTATCCTTGTTTGTTATAATTGATGTTTTTTCAAAAATTGAATATTTTTTCGATTTTATATTAGTATAAGAAGATTTTGTTAGTATATTTGATCTATTTATTCAGATTTTATATAATAACTTGTGTTTTGTTAGAGATGTTAGCTAGATATTTTAGATTTTCGAAATATGTGAATAAATATTTAAAAACACTAAAAGATACATTTAAAAAATATTGTATTATTAATATAATAATTAATGATTTCTAGTATTCCATATATAAATATCATGCTAAAACAACAAAAAAAAACTCTTTCTGCTGATCCTCTGACTACACGCAAAAAAGATATTTGCAAGAAGTTTCTATACTTATTTGCTAATAAAGTCTTAATGCTTTCATTAAAACAACTTGAAGTATGACTTCAAGAGTCACTTCTACCCTTTCACTTTTGTTTAAAAACCTTTTTACTCAAAAACTTGATTTTAAGTAACTAAGAAAAGTCAAGTAATACTGTATCTTTAATACCAATGGCAAGAAAGTTCTCAAAGGAAAAAGAACTGATTGTGAAGTACCTGAAGATATATTTAATCTTTGAAGCAAGAAATATATAGAGGTTTTTGATAACAGAAGAGTTTATTTTTCCTCTTCCAATTACATATGGACCTCTTGGAGCTATTACTTTTATGATTTTCTGGGGAAT